ACAAATGGCCATAGCTGTTTCGGAGGGAAATGAAGCAGGGGTGGAGACCATCAGAGGCCTGACGGTGCAAGCCTGCCATCCCAGCTAGTCCCGAAGCTGAGACAGGTGGATCAGAAATCCAAGGCGAACCTGAGCTACACAGAGAATTTAAAGCCAGCTTGGGTAACTTAGTGATACCCCGTCTAAAAATTTTAAAGGGGCTAAGGGTGCTGCCTGGTGATAGAGCACTTGTCTGGTATACATGAGGCTTTGGGTTTGGTCCCTGCGTTTCAAAAAGAAGGGATGGTTGGAAAGAAAGAGGAGGCAAGGGAGGAGGGAGAAGAGGTGGAGGAGGAGGGAGAGGAGGAGGATGGGAACAAGGAGAGTGGAGAAGAGAAGGAGGGAGAAGACAAGAAGAGAGGGGAGGAAAAAGGAGGAGAATGAGGAGGAGGGAGGGGTGGAGGAGGGAGGGGTGGAGGTGAGAATGTGGAGGAGGGAGAGAAAGGAAAGAAAGAAGAGAAGGAGAAAAGAGGAAGAGGAGGAGAGAACAGAGGAGCAGGAAGGAGAAAAGGAAAGGAAAGTGAGAGGAGAGAGAAGAGTGGGAGGAAGAAAACATGGAGGAAAACAAGGAAGAGGCAAACCCGAAGCTGGAGGCTCCGAAAGGGATGTTCGGGGAGGTCTTGTTCACAACGGGACACTTGGTCAGAGCACTCAGATGAGAGTTCCCAGGAGCCTTCCCATGTCCATACCTCCCCCAACTTGCCGAGGACCTGTGAGCCACCCTTAGCCCCAGGTCCTCCACTCACCGCCTTCGCTGGCCCCCACGTGAGACGAAGACTCGGTTACAGCACGCACCAGAGGGCCTGACTAGATTAATGGGAGGCTCACAGCAGAACTTATTATGTGGGACAAGCCCGTTGCTGCTAGTCTGACCGCAGTTATCTCGGGGCTGTGGTTATTAGGAGGGGTTTTATTGCTGGCCCTGAAGAACCCCGAGTTCAAATAACAGCCAGGTCACTTCCCAGATGTGTGGGGTTTTTTTTTTTTTTTGAGCAGATTCATTTCCCAGTTTTGAGCCCCAGCAACCTCCTCTGTCAAACAGAAATAAATATTCTTTCTATGTCTTAAAGCGACATTAAATGCCCAGGGTCTGATTATGCAGGAATTTAGGACATCAGCCAGTACCTTCCCCACCCACACACCACCCTACAGGGTAATGCCTGATTCTTGGAAAATTATTTTCTCTCCTTCCTTCCTCCCTTCCTCCTCCCTTCCTTCCCTCCTCCCTTCCTTCCTCTCCTCCTCCCTCCCTCCCTTCCTTTCTTTATCCCTCTCCCCCGTTTTTCTTTTCTTTCTTTTTACAGGCTGGCTTGGAACTTATTGTGTAGGTCAGGATGGTCTTGAAGTCCTGATCCTCCCGCCTCTACCACTGAGATTCCAGGTATCTCACGGTCACCATGATAAACATCACCATGGTCAGTGCTAGGGACAGAACCCAGGGCTTCTAGGCAGGTGCTCTGCGCCACCCCCCACCCCACCCCCCCACCCCCGAGCTACAGCCGCAGCCTCAGATTTAACTTTCTCTGAGCAATCATTGAAAGAATTATCCTGAAGGGAGGAAAATTAAGATAATCTCAGGCTTTCATTTGTTTTAGTGAGATTTCTTTTTTTTTTTTTTTTGGTTTTTCGAGACAGGGTTTCTCTGTGTAGCTTTGCGCCTTTCCTGGGACCCCCTTGGTAGCCCAGGCTGGCCTCGAACTCACAGAGATCCGCCTGGCTCTGCCTCCCGAGTGCTGGGATTAAAGGCGTGCGCCACCACCGCCCGGCTTTAGTGAGATTTCTATCTTCACTTTTTTAGATTTGTGATTGTGTGTGAATGAGTGTCTTGCCTGTATGTATGTATGTGCACCATGTGTGTGCCTGGTGTCCACAGAGATCAGCAGAGGGCATTTGATTCCCTGGAACTGGATGGTTGTGAGCCACCTTGTGGGATCTTGGAACTGAGCCTGTGTTCTTTACAAGAGCAACAAGCACTCTTAACCATGGAGCCACCGCACCAGTCCCTAGTTTTCTGTTTTGAACTCATTCGAGCGTGTATGTGTGTGTGGGGGGGGGCACACATGTGGAAGTCAGGGACAACTTGCAGTCATCCATTCTCTTCCTCCACCATATGAGTCCCAGGGATGAAATTCAGGTTGCTAGCCTTGGCAGCAAATGCCTTTTCCAGCTGAGCCATCTCGATGATCCAATTTTTTACTTACTATGTTCAAGATACTATCCCAAGTGTTTGACTCAACTGAAGCTGGGAAATGACCCCACAAGTAGGCACAATTCTCACCTCACTTTCTAGCCTAGGAACTTAAGATGTACCGTAAGTAATTAAGCCATCTGTTTTGACACACACCTGTCATCTCAGCATTTGGGAGGCTGAGTCCTCAGTAGAATGGGGGAGTTTGAAGGCACCCTGGACTACATAGAGAGATCCTATCTAAAAACAAACAAAACAAAACAACAATAACAAAAAAAAAAAAAAAAAAAAACAGAAAAACACGGGGCATGATGGGGCATACTTTTAATCCCAGCACTCAGGCGACAGAGGCAGATGGATCTCTATGTGGCCAGCCTAGTCTACATAACAAGTTCCTGGCCATCTAGGGCTATATAGTAAGATGTTGCTTCAAACAATACAATAAAAACAAGACCTCTGAAAGAAACCAAAAAGACTTTTGATCTCTCCCAAAGGAACAGAAAAGACTTTAAAATGTGTTTAAAATTTTTAAGAAAGAAAGAAGAGCTCCAAGAGATAATTCCTCATTCGAAGAGGGACTGACATTCAGATCATGTGTTCTAGTTCACGAGTCTCTGCTCAGATGGGAACAGAAGAAGAAGAAGCAACTAATCTAATCTTATGAGCAATTATACAGATTCAAGCCTACACTGGGTGTAAAACAGTTGATGAGTATGTATGTAATCAGGACCTCATAAAACACAGCTAGCGTTGGAGGCAAGCAGGTGCACAGGCAGGCAACAACAGACCCTGGCGCTGGTACACAGTGGTGCTCAATATATGTTCTATGTAGCCACATTCTCTAAGCAAATTCCTGTTTTCTTCAGCTGACAAGGAGGCAGGTGCCTCGTGAGCCTCTGTGGATCTTTCCTCCTGCTTTTTCTTTGAGATAGCGTCTCGCTATTTAGCCCAGTCTGGCCTCGAACTCGTGACCCTCCTTCATCAGCCTCCCAATTGCTAGCTTCACTCTCTATGAATCATATGACCATCTCTTGCCTTGTATCAAACTCTGGGAAGAAACACTCTGCTGAACTGCTAACATAAGATTGGAAACTTCAGGAGAACAAGGGAATCCATGGCTGATATGTAGAACTGAATTGTATTGCAAAATAAATTAAAAAATAAAATAAAAAAAAAAGATTGGAAACTTCTAGATTTATGCTACCCCGTTCAGCAATGTAGCTGTTCAAATTTAAATCAATCTGAGCAAAACCATTGTTTAGGTTTCTTCTCCTCAGAGCACCCCTGTTTTGTGCCAGCTGTAGGCTGCTGATGGCAGCCATGGAAAGAAGACATCTCTGTTACCATAGGCAGTTCCACTGGTCACTGCGAGGTCACAGGGGAAGAATCAGAGATTTAATGAAAAGGTGAAGAGGGGGAAGGGAACAAGTGCCCAGAGTTGACTGTGCTCCTCAGCCCCTGCTGTGCAGAGTGTCAGGGCAAGGTGGATATGAATCTGAGTGCATTCACGTGTGCGACTGCATGGGTGTCTGTGCACTGTGGGGTCTCTCTGAGCCTCCCTAAACATCTAAACGTCTTTTATCTCTACCACTTCCTATTTCTCACACACACACACACACACACACACACACACACACACCCTTAAGACAGTTAGATCCAGGCTTGCCTGGAACTTGCTATGTAGACAAAGTTGGCCTTCAATTTCAGATCGTTCTGCCTCCACCTCTTAAGTGCTAGGATACCTGGCTTGTGCCATGACGTGGCTTCGAATTTCTCTTTTCCTGCATCTCTGACCATCTTCTGAGATTCTCTCTACCTATTTTACTATTTCGGTACTGGCATGGATTCGGCCGACGGCAACTTCATCCTTCCAATGATGACTTTTGGTCCCTTCAACCCCTGCTTCCTTTCTGTCCCCTCACCTGTGTCCCTAGCCTCTTCCAGGCCCCTTCTCAGTCCCCCTTTTCAGGCCAAGGGCAAGGAATCTGGGCCAGACTAGCTCCCCCTATCTCTCCAGCCCCCCTCCCCTCCCAGCCTTAAAAATAGCAAGAGAAATTGGGACGGACGCCGAGGGGGTGAGGGCGGGGACATGGCCTGAGGAGGAAGAACCAGGTGTCTGGGCACTCACGTCCGTCTGGGGGCCCTTCCCAGCGCCTGGACACTCGAAGGTCACAAATTCGTGGCATCGGCGGTGAACCACGAAGCTGCAGACTAAAGATGAGAATGCAAGAGACACCGAGGCAGGAGAGACCCCCAATAGACACAAATTCTGAGCTATACATCCAGCCCACAGAAAACCACAAAAAGAGGAGTTCCCACGGAGAGAGTCCAACGGAGAGAAAAACAGAGGAGAGACCCAGACCAAGAGTCACATGGAGAGGGATACAGAGACAGAGAGAGCAGGACCCAGAACCCCCAAGAGATAGACTTGAAGGAAAACAAAAAGAGACAGAGAAACACAGTGACACAACCCGCTAATGCACACACGTGCGCATACAGAGAGGGGAGAGAGAGAGAGAGAGAGAGAGAGAGAGAGAGAGAGAGAGAGAGAGAGGAAAGCAAGAAGAGAGGAAGACAGGTTTTGAAGAGAAACAACAGAAATATCCTGAGACACAGCAGAGAGCAGCAACTTGAACAGAAGTGAGTCTGGGGGCGCTGCTTCGGCCCGCCCCCCACCTTGAGTCACTCTGTTCTCAGCCAAGTGGCAGCTGGTGTTTTAGGACTCGCCCCCCTCGCCCGGCCCCCACCCGCCCATTAGTGACCCCACCCGGCCTGCCCCTGCTTTAGGATGGATGGTGTTGTCATAGCAACGGCAGTCTGGGAGGGGGGCTCTGACTTTGCATCGCCGAGCCCCTTCCCCCCTTCGGCTCCCCTTTTCCAAATCTCCCTGTTCCCATGGAAACAGATTCTCCAAATATCTGTCCCCACCTGGAGCCGGCCGAGGGAGGGGCCCCCAGCACCACCTCCGCGGTGGCCCTGCCATCAGAGTTTCCTCCCCACCACAGGCTGTGTCTCTGCCACACCCCCCGCCCAGGGCTCCCCCGCGCCTCTCTGGGGACCACAGAACACGTGTGCCAGCCGCCTCAGCTGTGAGGCCCCAGCCTCCACCCTCGGGGGTCCCAGGAGTCCAGGTCCCAGCTCTTACCTTGACATTGCAGGCCCTGCTTTCCAATGCCCCTGGAAGAATCAAGGATCTAAGGTCAGTGCAGAGAGGGGTACAGGGCCCTCCCATCCTTGCAAGACAGGTTTGTGGCTTCCCACCTTCACCCAGGTGTGTGAGTGAGTCTCAGTCTCCTTCTACTGGAACCCAGAAATTCTAGTCCCAGCTCCTTTTCCCTTGGACCCTGGAATCCAGCTCTCAGCCCCTCCTCCCTCAGACCCAAGAACCCAGGCTTCATCCCCCCCATCCTTAAGCCCAGGAGTGGGGGCTGCAGCCCCCCTCTGCTCAATCGCTTGGGGGCCAGTGTGACATGACGGGCCCCCAAGTCCCCTCTTTCTCCAGCCCTCTCCCCCAGCGCGCTTCCCTCACCAGATGAAGTCGGTACAGTGACTGCAGAAGGTTGGCTGCTTGAAGAAACGAGCGGTGAACTTGTGGCTCTTCACCTCGTGGACCACCTTCTGCCTCAGCGCCCCCTTTCTGCAAAACAGGGGTCGGGGTCCCCCCTCTGAGTCGCCTCCACCGGGGCCCAGACCCGCCATGGCCCCAGGAACGCAGCAGGGACCACGATCTGGCCCTTTTTCTGAGGAAACAGGTGGACGGGAAAGGGGGACTCCGTAGACTCAGAGATGGGAAGGGCAGGGGCGAGGCACCTAACGGTGCGCAGCGCAGGGCAGAAAGCGGCACCCCGGCACCGGCTGCACCGAGGCGGGAGCAGGCGGGTGAGGTCAGAGCAGCAGGCAGGGGCACCGAGGAGCCGCAGGCACGGGCGGCGGCGGGAGCTCCGGCTCCCGGCACCTGCTGAAATGTAGAAGCTGGGGGTGGGGGGGGTGGGGGAGAGGCGTTGCCATGACGACCAAGGGGGCGGGGTTTCAGCTTAAAGGCGCCCCCTCCCCCCCCAGAGCCCAGGACAGATGCCCCTCCCTCCTCTCCACGTGCACACACCCATTCCGCAGGCGGTATGCAGGGAGGGGACGTCCTCTGAGTCTTGTCCATCCCCCTTCTCCCCAAAGACATTCCAGTCTGTCATTCTGGCCCCGACATCCCCATCTTCCTCCCCACTCAGTTGCATGGCTCTTGAATCTGGGCTAGATCTGTGTGTCTCTGTGTGTCTCTGGCCATATTACTCATATTAATCAAGAAACTTTGTGTTCAGTGCTAAGGACTTCCGGATGAACGGAGAGGCTCGTGTCTCACTCTCCGTGATGCTGCGGGCTCTTTTATCGCTCTCTGAGCCTCTGGCTTTACTGACATGCCTCCCTCTGGGTGTGTCTCTCCTCTCTCTCCCACTTCTTGTCTCTCCTTTCCTCTGTGTTCTCTCTCTGGTTCCCCCGCCCCTCTCTGCCTCTCTCCTTTTCTTGCTCACGTCTCTCCTCATGCCCTACATGGTGAAATGTTTTCGTATCCATCTCCCTGCCTTTCCCGGTCTTTTCTCCACTAATCTGGGTTCCTTGTTTCACCTCTGCCAGTTAAGTTCAGCGTTTCCCGATGTCCGTCACTCTCTGCTTCTGCATTTCTCCCCTGCAGTCGCTAGGGGATGCTCTCCCTGAAGAGTTGCCTGTCCCTCCTTTCCTGTGCCTCTTTCCTTCTGTCCCTTTCTCTCTGACCCACTCAGGGTTTTTCTTTTTGGCCCCGTGACCCTCTTTGTCCTTGGGCATCCCTCCCCCTCTCCTTGTGACTCTGTCTCTAGTGGTCTCCTCGCCCTCCCCATTTCCCTGTAACTGTCTCTGGGAGACTCTCCCTCCTCGGTGACTCCCGGTGACTCTGTCTCCCGGGGAATCTCGACCCTCCTCAGTGTCTCCCTGTGACCGCCCCGTCTCAGGGAGACTCCCTCCAGTGTCTCCCCGTCTCTGTCTCAGAGACTTCTCCTCTCTGTCTCTCCCTACAGCTCCGTCTCTGGAGGTTTCTCCCCAGTCTGTGTCTGCCCGTAACTCTCCATCTCTGAGGGCCTGCCCCCTCAATGTCTCCCTGTGACAATATCTAGCTGTGTCTTTTTTGACTCTGGATCTCCCTGTGACTCTGTCTCTGGGGTCTCACGTGTCTCCCTGTGACTATCTGGGTGGGGGCTTCTGACTCTGTGTCTCCCTGGGATTCCCTATACACCTCCCAAGTTTACTCCCCTGCGTTCCTCCCCCAGGTCACGCCCCCACGGTGCGCCCTTTCCGCAGTTCTGGCACTCCAATGGGTCCGATCTGGCAGGAAGCCGTTCATAGGCCGTGGGGAACCCTGGCCCGCCAGAGGCTGTCGAGCTCAGTGCACTCTGGGACTTATAGTTGAGGCCCTCGTACAGGCTATTCTTGGGAAGCAACAGAGAACTACTTCTCCCGGCGTGCCCTGCGTTGGCGAGGGTGTCTATAGTACCACGCCTTCTTTGCGGTTTTTGCCTAGCTTGCGGTTGCGTCCAGATTCCAGAAGGTGCAAGGGAGGTGGAGGAGTTCGAGTCAACTCACAAGCACCCTTCGCTGAACGCAGAGTTCCCTCCCCACCCGGCAAGCCACCTCTAAATGTCTGTGGTTCTCTGGGGCGACGGGTGGAAGGCACTAGGAGTCCAGCTTCGTCCTCTGCTGCTTTTCCGAATCAATACAGCAGATCACTGGATGCTACAGCTGTGTTTAGTTTTGTTTCTTCTTTTTTTTTTTTTTGGAGGCGGGGAGAGGGAAAGCGAGACAGAATTTCTCTGTGTATAGCCCTGGCTGTCCTGGAATGCACTCTGTAGACCAGGCTGGCCTCGAACTCAGAGATCCGCCTGCCTCCCAAGTGCTAGGATTAAAGGCGTGCGCTACCACCTCCCGGCTCTGTGTTTTGTATTTTAAAATAGGGGCTTGCACACCTTTAATCTCAGAGGCAGAAAGAGCTCTGTGAATGTGATGTCAGCCTGATCTACATAGCAAGTTCCAGACCAGCCAGAGCTACACAATGAGACTCTTGTCTGGTAAATACATACATACCTACATGGGTCTCGTGTATTTCTGGCTGGCTTCAAACTTGCTAGGTAGTCGAGGATGACCTTGAACATCTGAGCTTCCTGCCTTCACCCCCCCCCCCAAAAAAAAAAAAAACTGGGTGTGCGGGCGTGCTTCACCACAGCCTGGGGGCTCGGGTGCTGAGGATTAAACTGAAGGCCTTGTACCAGCTGATCGGCACCCACAACCCTCTAGCTGTTCTTTCTAGTGTCTTCCAGAAGGTATTCTTGAACCAGGTAGGGGAAGGAGTGGGCGTAATGCCCTTCTGAGAAGAGGGATTCATGCAGATAGGTCTTGGTAAACACTGAAAAACATAAGACATTTCTTACCCCATGAGTATGTGTCCTAACTGGCCCTTCTCCCATGTACTTCCTGTTAAGTCTCAAACCTGGGACAAAAGGCTGATTGACCTGCCTATTTAACATATCAAAGCAGACCTGGCTGCCAGGTCCCTCCTGCATTCCTTAGTCCCTGCCTGTGACAGAGTCTGGCTAGCACACTCGATCCCTTCCCTAAACTACTCCAGCTCAGGGGTTGGGCTGCCCTTCTCCCAGTTGCCCTTCCCGATATAATCCAGCTGTTTTGGCTGCATGGCCCTTCTGTTTACCTTTTACCCTCCTGGCCTCTTGGTCTCCTGGTTCTCCCCTCTCCCCTCCCTGCTCTTCTCACATGGCCCAGCTCAGGGTCATATTCTCTCTGGACTCTCCTAGATATCTCTTTGGCTATGCTCTCCCTTCTGTCTACAATAAACCTTCACCTCCACCATACCTAAGAGCAGTCGTGTCCTTCCCTTTTTATTTTTTGTTTTTCATTCATTTCCAAATTTTGCAATGTTTTCCAAGTTACAGGAGCAAAAAAAGGTTTCATATGATCCTGGAATGTTTTTTAATGACTTATTTAATTTTATGTGCATTGGTGTCTTGCCTGTGTGAGGGTGTCAAATGCCTGGAACTGGAGTTAGAAGCAGTTGTGAGCTGCCATGTGGGTGCTGGGAATTGAACCTGGGTCCTCTGGAAGAGAAGCCAGTACTCTTAACCGCTGAGCGGTCTCTCCAGCCAGATCCTGGAATTTCTATGGGTGTGTTTTATGTATGTGATATTCAGGTGAATTTCAGCAGCGAGGGGCAGGATCAGATCTGGATGGAGTGGGTCCCAACCGGGCAAGGGTACGTTGGACAGATAGTCAAGGAGAAGGCAGCTATGAATGGTACTTAGGAGATAGACCAGTGTTGCATGAACTGTCAGGAGACTGTGCTGGGAAACACAGGGAAATGAGTGCATTTTGGAGAAAACTGTTGCACTCAAATTGGAATGAATATATGAGATAGGGTTTCCCTGTGTAGCTGTGGCTGTCCTGGAATCAGCTCTGTAGACCAGGCTGGCCTTGAACTCACTGCCTGCCTCTGCTTCCCAAGTGCCGGGATTAAAGGCAAGGGCAACCCATACCCAGCTTGGACGTTGTATTTTTTTAACTTACTTTTGTGTGTCTGTGTCCGGTTGTGGAGGCCAGAGGGTGTCAGCAGTTTTAACCTCTGAGCTATCTATCTCTCTTGGAACTGGAGTTGTGATCTGCTAGGGTGGGTGCTACGAACTGAACTCCAGCACTTTGAACTGCACCCCCTCTATCGCCAAGACATTGTGTTTCTGAATTGCCAAGGTGAGATTTTCCTCCCGAATCTCTGTGTGTGTTGCTAGGGATAGGACTGCTAGGGCCTCGTACATGCTAGCAAGCACTCTTCCTCTGCGCGACTTGCTAAACCACGGTGGCTTATATCTCTCAAGTACTCATGGGACTCTCTGGGGGAGAAATCATGTTCATCTCTTTCCTAGCCAACCTTCCTGGTTTCTTCCCTCTTTTTAAAGATTATAAAATGAGCCGGGCGGTGGTGGCACATGCCTTTAATCCCAGCACTCGGGAGGCAGAGCCAGGAAGATCTCTGTGAGTTTGAGGCCAGCCTGGTCTACAGAGCCAGATCCAGGACAGGCATCAAAGCTACACAGAGAAAACCTGTCTTGAAAAAACAAACAAAAAACCATTATGTCTGTATGTCTGTGTGAATGTAGGTATAGAGGCCAGAAAAGGGTATCATATCACCTTCCTTCACTCTGAGGCAGGAAGCCAGCAATCCCCAGTGATCCTCCTATCTGTCCCCCAACCTGAGGGGATGCTCAGCCTGTTCCATGGGTACTGGGATGCAAACCCTGATGCTGAAGCATGTGCTTTTTAACCAACCTCTGAGCTCTCTCTCTCTCTCTTGGTTTTAAAGAATAATTTAGAAACCTAACAGGCTACGGTATAGAGTTCAGTTTGGTAAAGTGCTAGCCCAGCATGTGCCAAGCTCTGGGTTCCGTCCTCAGCGCTGCCTAAACAATACTTTGTGGTAGCTCATACCTGTAATCCCAGCACTGGAGGTGGAGGCAGGGCTTGAATTTACCCTTGGCTACATAGTGAGTTTGAAGCCGGCCTAGGCTACATGAGACTGTCTTAAAAGAAGGGGGGGGGGATCCAGACGCTGCCACTGTTTAATGATGAGGCCAAGGTTCTTAGTCTCAACCCCCTTCCACCATAAAACTGAAGAATCTGGGTCCCAATCCTCTCTTGGAGCCCTCCCCACCCACCTACCCACACTCCCCCCTCCCCACCCGTGATAAATAAAGCACGAGTCTTCCTGTTATCTTTATATTGAGATTTTAAAAAAAGAACATTATGGATGTGGGGTGGGGGGGTGGGAAGGGATGATTGACAGGAGCTAGAGGAACCTAAAGCTCCAGAAAATTAAAAAAAAATAAAATATATATTTATACATTTATATATATCTATATATACCAAGTAATGCATGTGAGTCCCAGAGAAGCAGGAAGCAGCAGCAAGAAGCAACTAACGTTAAGACACACAGACCCGGTGCGTGTACAGCACACACAAGCCATCCCAACCCTGACAACGCACCCCCTCCCACTCAAGAAAAGATGGTTAAGAAATGTCCCTCTTGAATGACCTTCACAGCTGGATGTGGTAGCACACCTGTGATCTCAGCACCTGAGAGGTGGAGACGGGGAAGACCAAGGGTTCAAGGGCAGCCTCAGCTACACAGTTAAGTTCAAGACCAGCTTGGGTTACAGGAGACCCCGTCCCAAAAGCTTAAAAAAAAAAATAGCTTCTTAGTCGTTTTGGTTTTTGCCTTCATGTTCAGGAAAAAAAGTAAGAGGCCAATAATGTCTTTAAGGCCGGCAGAGGCCATTTTTTTCCCCATCTGTGCTAAAGCAGGCCATGTTATTTTTAACACTGAGATGGAGGGCCACCATTACTGTCCCTCAGAAATACTTCAGAGTTGTCTTTAAGACCATGTGGGTATTTTTGGTGGGTTTTTGTTTTGTCTGTTTGTTTGTTTGGATAGCACAGAGAATAATTCAGCAAAGGCATCCATCCTTTGCTTCATCTAGGATAGCCTCTAGGCAGTGGGTCTTCAGTAAGCCTGGTAAAAAAATTCTAGAGTCAATTTTAGGCAAAGCTGAGTGACAAGGTAGAGGCAGAGACTCTCTGCTTAAAGGCTCCTGGCTACCGGAAATTATTGACCTCCAGAGTTTTTTTGTTTTGTTTTGGGTTTTTTTTTTTGGTTTTGAACTTAAAGGAGAGGTGCGCTATAGGCCTGGTCCCCAACCCCTTTAACACACACGCACATACTAAGGCACAGCTAAGGCAGGCAGGCAGGCAGGCATGCTTTGGCAATGAGGGCCCGAGAGAGGCCCATGGGGTGAAGAACTGCAAAGGAGTGTGGGATGTGTGGGGTCAGCACCTTTGAGGGGTGAGGGAGAGAAAGCAAGAACTCTGAGGGCTCCGGGGAAACCGTGGGGATAGGAATATGAAAGAGGTAAAGCTGTGGAGACAGCTCCGGGGCAGCAAAACAGGAGATAGACAGGCAAACAGGAAGAGGAAAGGGAAGAAAGCGAAACAAGGAAAGAGAACAATGAGTCAGGAGGAATATATAAGGAGGAAGAGGAAATGGGAGGGAGGTGAGGAGGAGGAGGAAACAGGACGGTACCAAAAACCTGGGCAATAAGATGAAGAGGTTGCCAGAAGGGACGGGGAGGGGAGCCCCTTGTTAACCTTAGACCTTGACAAACACCAGACGGGCGGAGTACACCAGATCAGACACATAGGCCAGCAGGTTGACACCTGTCAGGATGGCCACCGCCAGTCGGCGGTCCCAGTAACACACAGAGTGGGGGTGTGTGTACGTGCAGCTTGAATCCGATGCCCGCCGGGGGTAGCCATTGTACCTCTGATCAAACTGGTAGAGGGGCCAGAGGACAATGGCGGTGGCATACAAGAGGACAGACAGTAAGGCCAGGCCTGACAGGAAGGTGGGGAAGGGGATGGGCAACATGTTGGTACAGTCCCCCAGGTTGAGCAGGATGGTCACGGCAGCCAGTATGAAGCAGATGGCGTAGACTGCCACACACCACTCCAGGGCCGGCTTCTGCTGGTACAGGGATGGTTCGCTGATGAAGGCGAAGATGATACAGGCTACGAAGGTCTCGAAAACCTTGAGCAGCCCCGGCACGGTAGCCATGTAGCCAGTGATCTCACCGGGCCTTGCACGAGTCCAGGCCACTTCGGTGGCGTAGGCCAAACAGGCGACACAGGAGAAGGTGGTGGCCGCGATGGCATGGTCCCGGGTCCGTCCGTGAGCCATGAACTGCACATAGGTGGTGGGGTAGATGATGGAAGACGACAGGCAGAAGAGAGCCGCGTAGCAGGCGTAGGTGATAGGGAAGTTTCGCCATGACAGGGGGAAGCGGGCCTGGAGTCCGCCCAATTCCACAATCAGGATGATGAGCGTCACAGCAAAGCAGAAACACCAGGTGAACATGGCCCAGTTACCCATGGGCCCCGTCCAAGCAGCCACACTGGCCACCAGCGAGAAAGCCACGCAAGTGGATATTAGCTGCAGGAGGCGGAGGAGGCCCAGGGGCTGGGTCAGTGCCCGAGGGGACCCCACAATGGTGGAGGAGGAGGACGTTGTTGTAGTCGTGATGGTTGTGCGGGTCACTGATACCGGCATGGCTGAGAAAAAAAAACCAAACCTTTGGATAAGGCCTCATACTGAGGAATCCACACACCCAGCCCCTCATCTGTCTTGGAACAAATTATCTTGATCTCTAAAAAGGGTATGTCTCAAAATAGGGAACTTGTAACTCGGGCAGTGGGCAGTGGTGGCAAACACCTTTAATCCCAGCACTCAGGAGGCAGAGGAAGGTAGATCTCTTGAGTTCGAGGCCAGCCTGGTCTACATATTGAGTTCCAGGACAGCAAAGGCTACACAGAGAAACCCTGAGAAGTGAAAAAAATTGAAGAAAAAAAAAAAAGGAACCTGTTTATAAACTATAAGAACGAATTGGTCATCTAGGTTCTAGGCTCATCCCAGATGTGCCCATGAGAGAACTCAGAATCCAAAGACCCAAAGCAGCACTTCTTGCTCTTTCTCCCCAGGGACTCAGCAACCTCTCGACTGCTGGAGTATGGTGGGCCAGTAGATGCCTCAGTGGACAAAGGAACTTGTAGCCATGCTGAACAACCTGAGTTGGATCCCTGGGGCCCACTGGTGGAAGGAGAGAACCAACTCCTCCAAGTCGCCTCTGACCTCCCCCACATGAGTACATACAGACCCACCCCAAACACACACATAGGGCTGTGGTTTTGGGGATGTGGTTCAGCTGATAGCATGCTTGCCTACTGGTTCTGATCCCGGCACTGCATAGACCAAATGCACACCTGTGATCCTAGTATTTGAGAAGCTGAGGTAGGATTACCGTGAGATGGAAGCCAGCCTAGGTTACAATAGTGAATTCTAGGCCAGCTTGGGCTACAGAATGAGATTCTGCCTTTAAAAAAAAAACAAAACAAAAAAAAAAAACCAGCAATGAAAAGATTATGGTCTAAGTGAGTTACGTTACTTCCTCCTCTGTGTGACCTAGGGCTTTGTACCCCAGGCTCTATGAACAAAGTTCCCCCTTTCACCCTGCAGCAACTCAGTCATTTCTAGCTTCTAGCATTCACAGCCAAGACTCCAACTTCCTCAAACCTTAGGCCCAATGAGTAGACTTTTTTTCTTTTTTGGTTTTTCCAATGTAACACAGGGTTTCTCTGTATAATGGCCCTGGCTGTCCTGGCCTTGAACTCACAGAGATCTGCCTGCCTCTGCCTCCCGAGTGCTGGGATTAATGGCATGTGCCACCATGCCCCGCAAAAATAATTCTTTTATGGTAGACATTAGCAGCCGCTATACATCCAATATTCCACCTTCCATTCCAGCTCCCACGTCTAACCAGAGCACTGGACCTCCATCCTTCTACTTACTCCTCTCCCAGAGATCTCTGATCTGGAACGTCAAATTTTCTTTCTCCCCTTCCTTCAAGTTTCATGAATCCTCCCCCTAATCCTACTTCAGACATGGGGAAAAAAAAAAAACAACCAAAGGCAGCTCAGTTTCCTCTTTCCTATCATGGAGCCTATCAATTCCTATAGGGACTTGGCCAACAGGTTCCTCAAGTTCAGGAAAATTCAACTCCCTCCGCTCTCACTGTTCAGTGGCCCAGCCCCATCCACTGAAATTTCTAGCTTTCAAGGCCAGTCATGCAGGGCTGGACCTCCGGACATGCCTCTCAGCCTCCTAATGTCCCCCGTGACCCAGACATAGGATGGGGGTAGAAGGACTAACTTTTTTTTTTCCACTGACAAACCTTGTCTTAGACTCAGAACTTTAATCAGATGCCAGCTACCCCCTCAGGATGCTAACTGTCTGACCTCTCAGCTGATGCCCCCCAAAATATGGGGAGGCAGTTCCCAGACCCAGGAAAATAAAACTTCCTTATTGCTATTTTCAGTTCTGCCATTATTTCCTCTGAATTGAGCATCAGCTGCTGGAGGGAATGGAAAGGCTCAAATGACTCAAAAGCTATAGAGACCTGGGCCAATGAGACCGTTCATTTGGCAAAGGAACTTGCAACAGAGCTTGACAAACCTGAGTTCAATCCCCAAGACCCACATGGTGCACAGAACTGAATTCTGAAAACTGTCCTCTGACCTCCATACACTTGCCACGGGGGGGGGGGGGGGGGGGGGGGACCGGGGGGGGGGACCGGGGGGGACGCGCGCGCGTGCGCACACAGAGAGAGAGAGAGAGAGAGAGAGAAGAGATAATTACATGTTAGAAGGAGAAAGATCATAGGAACTTTCAAGGCTCAGGAAACATACTCAGAAAGTACAAGGTTTTTGGTATGAGACCCCTTCCCAAAGCTGAAGCCCCACCACAAGAATATATGAACATTGAGCAATTAAGAGGATGGGGTGGGGGTGAGGGGTGTGTGTGTGAGGGGGGTGGATAGTTTATTTAGCCGGAGGTGAGGATGGGGGGGGTATGGATATTTCATTTAGCTCAGTAGTGTTGGTGCGCGCCTTTAATCCCAGCACTCAGGAGGCAGAGGCAAGTGGATCTACAGAGCGAGTTCCAGATGGGCAGAGCTACACAGAGAAACCTTGTCTCAAAAAACCAAGTTGGAAGGGGGGGGGTGTTGGAAGGCTCTTCTGTCCAGCTAACTACAAGTTGGGCAGTATGCTCCATGGACGTATCTTTCATGAGTCATTACCCCAGCTGGGGTGGGCTTTTCAGTGATGTCCAGTCCCTTGCAAGTATCCCAATCAACTCATTGGCTCAACAAGCTGTAAGCTATACTCGGGTTAACAGTTTATTTGGTCTGCCATCCTTTTTTCTTTTTTTGGTTTTTGAGACAGGGTTTCTCTATGTAGTCCTAGATGTACTGGAACTCACTCCATAGACCAGGCTGGCCTCGAACTCACAGAGATCTGCCTGCCTCTGCCTCCCAAGTGCTGGGATTAAAGGTGTGCGCCACCACCATGCGGTAGTGTGTCATTTTGTGCCCTGAGATGAGCATAAAAGTTATTCATAACTTTCCCCCAGGATAAGTCATGCTAAGGTCAGGCCCATGGAAAGACAAAAGGGCAGGCTTTAACCTCTGGAAGCTCACACTGTCCCAGAACAGCTCCCAAAGTACACAGGAGCCAGCTCCTGGATACAACTTCTTAGGCACATGGATAACTGATTCTATCCTCTGGAATCCTTTCAGGTTCCTTCTGTATCAGGATCTAGGAATCTAGGCACCATTCCCTCCTCCCTCATACCCAGAGATCCAGGCCCTACCCCTTTCCTTCTGTAGATTCAGTTCAGTATACCTGGCCAACCTCCCTTAGTCAGACCCAGGAATCACCAGTCCTATCATAGACCCCAAAGTTCAGGTTCCAGGCACTCCACTCTTAGACTCAGGGATCCAGGCTCCAGGTCCTCTTCCATCAGACTCAGAATAGGACCCTCCTCTCTTAGACTCTCGGTCCAGAACCTCAGCCCTCTTCCCTTAAACTTAGGGCTTCCCCTCCCCCAGCTCTTCACCTTCAAGAACTGTAATTACAGTCCAGACCACAGCCGCTCCACCCTCAAGAACTAGCACACTCACCTGCTGTCTTAACTGACGACCGGAAGGAGAAAGATCCCGCTGCAAAGGCGAAGAAGGTTGCGTACCTGGAAAAGGTTGATCAGAAGCCCTGAGGAGGAGAAAGGCAGTCAGGGCCGAACTCGAGACAGTCCTCCCTCGCAACACCCTGACCCCGAGCCCTAGACTCTACAGTTGGGACCTATCTCCCTGTGGGGACGCATACTTGGCGGCGAGCCCGAGAGCGAGGTCTCAGAGGTTACCCCGAGGAAGCACCGCCCTCTCCTTCCTCCCCTAGGACTTGCCCGTGGGCGGAGTGGAAGCAAATGTGGACAAAGGGGCCGGCCTTCAGGCCGGCTAGGGGCGTGAGTGATGTTAACCTAGCCCCAGCCTGGCAGGCGGCGGAGGGAGATCCCTGGGCGGTGGTTGCAGGGCCGGGAGGCCCAGCCTGGCCCCGCGTCTCCGCTCCTTATAAGGGCTTTAAGTCGCCTCCGCCAGGGCAGTGTGGCAGGGACCAGGAGGTGGTGCCAAGACCCTCGAGGCCCACTCAGAGGCTGCCCGCCCCTCTCCAGGACACCCTGGCTGGAAACTGTGGGTGTGGGTGGGGCGGGGCGGGGCGGGGTGAATCCTGGATTCTAGGAGAAGGCGGGAGGGTCCGATTTGTGGTTCCTTGAAAAGTGTGAGTTGGGAGCCAGGCAGAACGACTCCCACAAGTTGTCCTCTGACTTCCACACGTGCCCTGTAGTCCGTGCGCCCCCCACCCTCTGCAAAGTAAATATTGTTTTAAAAGTCTATTTTGAGACAAGCTCTTACTATGTAACCCTCGCTGGCCTAAAGCTTGCTATGTAAACCGTGAAGACACTGAGCTCACAGAGATCCGCATGCCTCTGTTTCCCAAGTGCTGGGGTTTGTTTGTTTGTTTGTTGTTTTGTTTTTCAGTTCTGAGTCCCGAATGGAACGCGGATGAGTCTGGCCTGGTAGCGCAGGGCTGTATTCCCAGAACCCCAGGAGAGGCAGAATTGGAAATTCAAGGCCTTCCTGTAGCCATAGTCTTTTCAAGACAAGCCAAAACTACAAAAAGAAAAAAGGGGGGGGGGGGAGAGCGGGTGGTGGTGAGGAAGGTGGAGTATTTGACTAGCATATGGAGGTACTAGGTTCAACCTCTGATACCCAATGCCAGGTGGGGATGCGGTTAGGGGGAACGAAACTCTCTGACTACAAGACAGAAACTCCTTTAAAACTCTTCAAATCGCAGGCACGAGGACACATCGCTTCCCTTGCTTCGGGCTAGAAAAGTCTGCTAAACTAGAATTAGGTGCACACCGTTAATGTAGGCTCTCCAGTCAGTGCTAGGGCCTCCAGTGCACCTGGTAGGGGTCACAGGAAGGCAGAAATCCGGTTCAGATCCCACTGCGATTGGTTAATGGGAAGCCAGGACTAGTCTCACACCCAGCACTATAAAAAGTGGGCTATTGACCGCCTTTAATCTCAACACTCAGGAGGCAGAGGCAGGAGGATCTCCGCGAGTACAAGGCCAGCAAGGTCTACACAGCAAGTTCCAGGACAACCAAAGGACCCTGCTTTAAAAAAGAAAGAAAGAAAGAAAAAAAAGTGGGCTACTGTCCAGCCATAAACACTAGGAGGAGGAGGAAAAGGGAAGAGCATAAATCCTTCGGTCTGGAGGAAAGTTGGTTAGGAAAGGAGGAAGAAAAGAAAGGGAGAGCCGAAGAGAGATGACATCCTTGGCTGTCCAGAGGGCCTCCAGCACCGTTTCAAGTCAGAGCTAAGGAATGCTCAGCCCAAGACCTAGGCAGGGCGAGGATACGCCCCTTGAGCTTCCTCCTAGATCTAGTTCCACTCTCTGGGCCACACCCAGCACCCCTGCTGCCGTCTCCCTAGCTACACTCCTGAAGTCATCCATCACTCCACAGACTCAGACTCGGCCACGCCCCACACCAGCGGTGGACACGGCCCTAATCCCACATGGCTCCCCAGCTCCCCCCACACTCCAAGTGCCCGTATAAGGCCTCTGGAAGGAGGGTCACACCAAGGACTTCTCCCCTCCTGAGCACCCCTGGGCACCAGATGAAAGCCTCGCATCCAAGAGCCCCATCTCCCCTCAGATTCAGGGATCTGTACTCCATCTCTCCAGGTCCTCAAACCCAAGAGTCCAGATCCCAATCGCACCCGCCTCCTTCAGTCCAAGTTCAGAGCCCAATCCCTCCTCCTCTAGGACAAATTCAGACGCCCGCCCTCCTCCAGACTAAGCCCCAAACTCCAGCCCTCGTCCCCCAAGACCCATCTAAGTCCAGATCCCAAGCCTGTTCGGTCTGATCTACGGTTCCAGATCCCATCCCACCTCTCTCAGCCTCAGGGGTCCAACCCGCACCGTCCTACCTCAGACCCAGGTGCCCACTCTCCATGTAAGACCTGTATGAGCTCAGAGAGTTCTGGCCCAAACGGAGTGTTTCTAGGGACCCAGACATCTGAATCCCTGCCCACTTCTCTTTCTAGACCCAAGGATCTTGGGCCACTGCTCCTTCCCTTCGGGGTCCCTGCAGCCTCACCTCTCCAGCCAGTGGCGTCTGCAAGCAGAAACAAGAAAGACAGCTGCAGACCAGAAAAAGGGTCTTAGGGCTGGGTGGAGTTGGCCAGCTGGGGAGCGCGCGGGGGCGGGGCCGAGGGCGGGGTTTGGGGCTGGCTTGGGCGGTGAAAAGGTATCTTCCCTGCGTTCGGGCTATCCCTGGTCGGCCCCCAAAGGCGGGGCTAGTGTCACACCACGCCTCTCTAAAGCCCGGAGTGTCGTGGCTCCCTGGCCCAACCAGGGAGGGGGTGCAGGGCTGAGGTCACCGTTGCTGTGGAGACAAAACAGGAAGACACAGCAGCTGGCGGCGCGGGGGCTCCCAGGGGCTATCCTCCCTGACCTAGCTCTAGAAAGAAATCTCCAGGGTTAGGCCCGAGAATGCCGTTGCCTTAGAAACCGACATGTTTACGGTTTTGTTTTAGATGGAGTCCCCTTCCCCCCGCCCCCAAGCTCGGGTCCCCACGCCTAGTCTTACCCCTCATTCAATTCTCCTTCTCTCTGCTTCTGTCCTTGTCTATCTGATGCCCAACGCTGGACAGGATTTAAAAAAAAATAAAAAAAAAAAAAAAAGATCTTACACACCCAGGTGGCAGCGTATTTCGGACCAGAACCTCTCAATTTAACGGAATCTGTGGGCTAGGGTCTTGTCTACCTGAAAAAGAAAGGAATTTAGGATGCCAGGCCTTGAGCTTTTAGGAGTTCTGAGCAAGCAACCTTGACTAGCGAGGCCCCATCCCCAAGGAACAAAGACCAAATTTCTGTGGGGGTTTTTTTTTTGGGGGGGGTGTCTTCCTAGAGGGGAGTGGGATGTATCTCAATTACTCTGTAATTGCAGCATGTGCAGACTGCTGGGCCACGTCTCAGAAGATCACAGCCAATGGGGGCGAAAGGATGATGGATCGTAGCTAAATTCCTGGAAATTTAGGGGGTCCCAGATTTCTGAGCCATGAGACGGTTTTCAGAACAGACGTGGCTGGTCTTTTGCCGAGCCTTCTGGGTCTACAAGGGCGAGCTATTTTTGGCTTGCATTCCTGCCTTCAGGACAAAGGGAGGGACTCAATCTTTACGAGCACGGGCTTGGGGCCCTGGAGCTCTGGATTCCGGGTCCTACCATATGGTAGGGATACGGTGGACTCCGTGGTGCCGCGAAGAGGGGGGCAAAAGCAGGGGAGGGGTTCAGGGTTGGGCTTTTTTTTTTTTTTTTTCCCAGTTGGTTGGATTTGAGGATCTGAAAGGACTGGACTGAGCCAAATGGGAAAGGGAGCTGAAGGTCGCGCTGCGGGAGGGAGCTGAAGGTCACGACGCCAGCCCCCTGGGCAGGGCGGGGACCCGGGATACCTGGCTCCCTCCCTCTTAGCCGCACTCACTCACCCCGCTCTGCAGCGGTCCCGGGCGCGGCCCTGCTCCGCTGCTGCTGGGCGGGGCCTAGCGGCGGCTGCGGATGCTAGACTCTTCCCGCCGGCTGCTTCTGGTTGTCTTCCAGGAGGACTAAGGAGGCTTAGAGGCCCAGCCCCAGAGAGGAAGCCGCAAGCGCCGCGAAAAGGAGGGGTCCGAAGGGGTCCAGGAGCTCAGAACAGCCAGCAACGCGCCCTACGGAGGAGGGAGGAGCTGGAGGGGGGACCTGGCGCTTGCTTAGTGCTTTCCTGAAGTGGGGGTGGGGACCAAGGTATAGGGAACGGGTAGGTGAAGAGCTGCGGGCTCGCTTTGCATTCCTGGGAAGAGACACAGAAACAGACCCTCTTTGTCCATTCTATGCCCTGCATAAAGGAGGGTTTTAGTTTGCTTATTTTATGTGTTAGAATGCAAATGTGGAAGTCAGAGGGACAACTTGTGGGAGTCAGTTTTCTCCTTCCTCCGTGTGGGATCTGAGGATCAAGCTCAGGTCATCAGTATGGTTGGCAAGTGCCTCTATCCACTTGAGCCATCTCGTTGGCCTATGGAAGGTATGGTTTGGGTTTTTGTTTGTTTTTATTTTAATTTGGTTCTTTTTTAAAATGTATTCATTTTTGTGTGTCTGAATGTTTTGCCTTCATGTATGTATGTATGTATGTGTACCACGTGCAAACCTGGTCTCCTCAGAGGTCAGAGGAGGGAATCGGATCCCCTAGAACTGAAGGTTGTGAGCCACCTTGTGGGTGATGGGAATTGAACCCTGATCCCTCTGCAAGATAAGTGCTCTTAACTGCTGAGCCATTTCTTCAGCCACCTGAGGAGTTTTTAATAGGCCCAGCATCAGACATTTTCACACACACACACACACACACACACACACACACACACACACACGGAGTATAAGTCTATATAGTCTATAGATAGTGGGTTGGGTTTCCCACAGATTCTCTTACAAGCCTCCTTCTACTAAGTTACCCCACGACTGTAAGGTTTTGGTCCTTATAAGAAGGTGGAGGCATCTCAAGTGGTCTACAGAGGTCTTGGCTTACGCAACTTACCATGCGGTATCCTGTGGTAGAAGTATTTTCTGTACAGAGATGGCTCAGTGGGTCAAGTCAAACCTCATGACCTGAGTTCCACCTTCAGGGCCCATGTGGTAGAAAGAGAGAGCTGATTCCCCGAAGTTTTCCTCTGATTGACACAGGTCCACTGTGGCATGCATTCCAACACATACACACACACACACACACACACACACACACACACATATAAAACAAACAATCAAAAAAACAAAACATCTCAGTGTTCAGGGTAACATGAACAAGATACAAGAACCATCTGGAGTGTGTGTATGTATGATGCTGAAGCTCGAACCCCCAGCCTCAAACATGCTAGGTGAGCCCTGTACCACGGAGAACTTTCCCCAGCCCAATTTGCAAACATTTGAAGAGTGAGTCACAGGGTGTGATTTTTGAGAAATGTTACTCTTGGGTTCCCAGGTCTGTGTAACCTGATATCATGTATGTGCTACTGGTTCAGTGTGTACCCGTCTTTTAGGACAGAACTCCCACCCGATTGTGCCCAACCTATCACTGTTACCCCCTTTCCAGTAGGCCGTGCCTGTGTTCTAGGAGGCTGACTGCTTTGCGAGTGTTGCGGTACATGAACAACGTCCCCTCCGAACTCGTACCAACTTCTAAATAAACGGTCCCTTGGTCAGAAGCAGTACTGTGTATTTTAACACGATGGTGAATAGAGCGTTCATTGTGTACACCCAGGCTGCTTTTGGCAGAAGTGCAAAGGGCAAGAAAAGCAAATAACAAGCACAGAGTTACTTATTCCGTGGAAGAAAAACGTATTGCCCAACCCATGAGAGGAGAGGTCCAATGTAGTCCTCGGAAGACTGGGCGTCTGGCTGGCCTTCCTAGTACGGTGCTTCCTTGGGGGCTAAGCAAGTGTAGCTGCCACCAGCAAGGTAGGCATTCATTGATGATGTGGCTGGCTAAGGTTGGTGAGTTGAGTCCACCATGATCGATCACGGCCATTTTTGCTTAGAAGCTCACTGAGCAAGCCCTGAGGTATCGAGAGAAGAGCTGACCAAGAGACACCAGGCAGCCATCTGGTCTACCGTATGAGATAATAAAATTCCCTCTAGTTGGGGTGGTTATGGGAGAGTATGAGATATAAACTGTGAGGTGATTTTCATTCTCACGACTTCTAACACCTACTATGTAAGTTTTATTTCCTCAACTAACAATCAAGTCTTTTTCTATCTTACAATTTTTTATTCTAATGTGTGTGCTTGTGTGAATTTATGTGCACCACATGCATCCCTCAGAGGCCAGAAAGAGGAGTCAGATCCCCCTTCAAGTTAACAGATGTTTGTGAGCTATTATGAGGGTACTAAGACCTGAACTCGGATTATCTGGAAGAATAAGGGTTTTTGTTGTTGTTGTTGTTGTTGTTGTTGTTGTTATCCCAGGATGGCTTTGAACTTGCTGTGTAGTCAAGGGTGACCTTGAACTCCTAATCCACCTGTCTCTAACTCTCCAGTGCTGATATTACAAGTGTGTATCACCTAGACCAGTTTATGTGGTTCTGAGCATCAAACGCAGGGCCTAAACAGCTAGTAACAACAGAGCAGTGAAAACAAACAACAGCAAACAGCTCTCTTCCTGGAAGAGACGGCTCAGAGAACAAAAGTGTTGCCTGAACAGGCCTCAATTCAACCTCTGGAAAACACGGTGGAAGGAGAAAACTCCCAAAAGTTGCCTTCTGACCTCCACACTGACATCTAGGCATGCACGTGCATGTACACATGTATATACACACACATACTTATAATAACTTTTTTTAAAAAGTTAAACAGCAGCATAGTGAATTCCAAGTCACCTTGGGCTACAGGAGAGCTTCCCTGTGAGACAGGGTTTCTCTGTGTTGGCTGTCCTGGAACTTACTCTGTAGATAAGCCTGGCCTTGAACTCACAGAGATCCACCTGCCTCTGCCTCCCAAGTGCTGGGGTTAAAAGTGTGCACCACCACCACCACCCAGCTACATGAGATCTTATTTAAGGAGGGAAAAAGCTTCCATGGGGGCTGGCGAACGATCTGCAGTTAATAGCTCTTAACCACTCTTGCAGAAGACCTGAGTTCAGTTCCTAGCATCCGTATTTGATGGTTCACATTCAACCATAACTCTTGCTCCAGGAGATCTAATGCTCTCTTCTGGACATGGGGGACATTGCACTCACATATGCACAGACACACACAGATCACACAAAATTTTTTAAAATAATAAAAACAAATCTTAAAAAAAAAATTAGCTTCCCATTTCTTTTGGCCCTGTGCCATGAGCATGTTTGGTAGCTGCTGACCTCAGTGACCTGCGGCCCTAACTGAGGTGACTTTCCCAGAAAAATCAGATGTCAGTTTAAACTCTGTTATCCATAGCCCTATCACTTCTCTTTTGTCTCAGGTCTTCAACAAGAATGCTCTTTCTTTCTTTTTCTTTCTTTCTTTCTTTCTTTCTTTCTTTCTTTCTTTCTTTCTTTCTTTCTTTCTTTCTTTCTTTCTTTCTTTCTTTCTTCCTACCTGAATCTCCTAGTCCTTCAGCTCTCTCCTTCCACTTCTGTCTGGAAAGAATCCAGAGTCCTCGACTTCAATGGCATGCTTACTCCATCAGGGTACCCGACCTCCTTCTGCCCGTCCCTCATTGTTAGAGAGGAGTGAACCCACCTATTGCAATTGATGCTTTGACGTCTTTGCCTCTTAGCAGAAATTCCAGTTACGGGGACCAATAAATGTTCCATGGCTTGGATATCTTTTTGTGTTGGTTGGCTTGGCTTTAATTTTTTTGGGGGGAGGGGCCGGAAGCGATGTTTCAAGACAGGATTTCTCTGTGTAGCCCTGACTGTCCTGGAACTCGCTCTGTAGACCAGGCTGGCCTTGAACTCATAGAGATCCACCTGTCTCTGCCTCCCAAGTGCTGGGATTAAAGTCATGCACCACTACTGGCCAGATGGGTTTTTTGGGGTTTTTTGTTTTGTTTTTGTTTAATTTTATGATCATTGGTGTTCTGCCCGAATTGATGTCTGTCTGGAGGTATCAGAAGCCCTGGAACTAGAGTTACAGACAGTTGTGAACTGCCATGTGGGTGCTCAGAATTGAATCCGGGTCCTCTGGAAGAGCAACCAGTGCTTTTAACCACTGAGCCATTTCTCCAGCCCCTTGGCTTTTTTTTTTTTTTTTCCACACAGGAGTTTATTGAGGGGAGGGGAGAGAAAGGGGCAGAGACTGGTCCCTGGTGTCAAGAGTGAAGGGAGAGAGAGGGAGAGGGAGAGGGAGAGGGAGAGGGAGAGGGAGAGGGAGAGGGAGAGAGAGAGAGAGAGAGAGAGAGAGAGAGAGAGAGAGAGAGAGAGAGAGAGGAGGTGTACAAGGCCCGCCTTTTATAAGGAAACATAGCAAATGCGCACAGGGAGTGCTCTTAGTGGCTGCAGCTGAGGTATATCCTGTCAGGATCCTAACAGAAGGCCAGTACAGATGCCTAAATGCTAACATTCCCACCTTTTGTTTATCATAAAAAGGTGAGGAGTTAGAAAGAGGTAGCAGATGTGGCGGAGATGAGGGCACCATATTCTGGAGACTGCTTCCTGCTGGCCTGAGGGGGGCGTCGATCATCTTTGTGGGACCTGAGAAAACTAGGGTGCTGGCCAAGTCCTGGGGTAGCTGGCTGTTTCCCTTCACTATCCAGGCTCTGTGGAACCGTCCGGCATTGCTTGGACTTGGCAAGATGCTGTTCAGATGGATCCAAGTCAACTTCCTGGAGCTCATAAGAAATCACGATGAGGTCACCAGCCAAGGTGGAGGAGAGCCACATGGTTGCAATCATTGGTGTTGGGTGGAGAGTCCCAGCGATCTGTTAGGTGGGAAAGTAGGGCTGTGGCTAGTGGACCAGGTTCCAGGGTCCCAGCATGCCTCAGACTGCTGGGAGAGACTATCGGAGCCAGGGCACCAAATGCTGTATTTTAAAAGCAACGGGAAGGAGTCACACCATACGAGGCCCACGTGGGAGGTTTGTTGAGGGAAGGGCAGAGAACGGGGAAGAGACAGGTCCCTGGGTTCGAAAGTGAAGGAAAAGAGAGAGGGCGTTGGTTTTTTAAAAACATTCTCCCCCACC